CCCCAAAACCCCAAAACCCCAAAACCCCTTTTCAATCTCTGAAGGTTGAAATTTTCACTGCTTGGTTTAAAACTCATATTCATGATCAGCTTTCTCCTTGAAGTACTTGGACACAACCTCTAGTTTCTGATGGAGATTGTTGAAGTACCTTTTACAGTCATCAATACTTCTCTTCATATCTTTTGCTCTGTGCTTGAGCTCGAAGTACTCTGAATTCTCCTTTGTGATGTTTTCCACAGCTATAGCTGCCCTTTTTATGAGAGATTTGAGTAAGACTCTAGAAGGTTAGGTAGAAAATACTCATTTTCAGTGACTCAGTTGGTCTCATCAAAGGTCATGTATTCATCTTGGATACTTTTAAGACTATGGTTAGTGTCAAAATCGAGATTTTGGTATGACTTGTCTAAAACTTCATCATTCCTGATCCTCATTGAGCGTACTTTCCTCTTAATATCCTCAAGTTCTTCATCTCTCTTCCTCTTCTCCTCAATTTGGGATGGATTAAGTGGGAAAGGGTCTGATGCGCCATTGAGACAGATCTGGCCAGGCTCGTTCTCCTCAATAGGGGGTTCTAACTTTGGATCAAAGAACCTACATTTGGGGATATCAGCGCCTGTATATCCTTCATCTTCCTTCTTAATTTCCTCTGGGAAGAACTCGACTATATGTTCAGCGCTATGTTTTCTCTTAGCTTCTTCCCTATTGGCCGTATGCCGCTCGTGCTTCTTGAAGCTATCTCTCTTTTTAGTGCCGTCAAGTTTTCTTCTCGTTCTGCTTCTGCCACCTCTTTTGCTTGATCTTTTCCGTGAAGCTGCGTTTTTGATGTTTGAGGTCATGTGACTGGAGACCTAGAGTTTTGAGTTAGAAAAGAGGGTTTTTGAGAGAATAAGGGAAATTTTTGGGTTTTAAGAGGGTTGAGGGGATTTTGGGGAAATAGGGGATTATGGGGAGGAATTTATAGGAAATGTTAGTTTTGAGGGTGTTTTAGAGGTTTTTATAAGCTTTGTGGGTTAACTTGGTCTGTTTGGAATAGATTTCAACTCATTTTTGCTTAAAATTTTGATTACTTAAACTTTGGATGGGCATGAGAAAAATTCTTTTGCCTAACTTACCTTCTTCATATCAAGTCGATCATGTTTGTTTGTAAAACTTTGAGCCATATCAGACTCTTTCCTTAGAACTCTCTTATCTCTTCTCTTCTTTTTGATGGGGATTAGTTCTCTCCCTTTGGAGAATTCTATAGGAGCGTACTCGAAGTTTGGATCGTATGTGATGTCTATTTCTAAGAAGCGTTGAAGGATAGGGTTCTCTAGTGCTTCATAGATCAAGATTAGGCTCTTTAGATACTCATGTAGAGCACGTAGTCGAGATTCTATGAAATCTGGATTTGTGTTAAAGTATTTCTTCTCAGGCAATTTTGGGAGATTTATGGGATCCAAATCTCTACGAAGTCTTCTATGCATTTCATCAAAATCTGAGTAACGCTTTTTAAGTCTCCATACTTGTGAAAGAAGTACCTCTATGATTTCAGAGAGATAAGTGCTTACCAATGTTGTACCAGACTACTCCATCAACTATAAATAGGGTTACTTAGATAAATTTTGGGTAATTTCAGCTTAAAGTTACCACAACCTCCCAAATCCATAAAACCAAAAGCTAGAAACTAACCCCCAAAAGAAAACTCTAGGCCTTACCAATGTTGTAGTCTCTGATCCTAACATCCAGGTCTCAGAGGTCAAATTCGAGTCCTCTCTTGTTCTGCACGATGATGTTCATATTGTATTTAACAAATTATTTACTACTAAATTATATTGATTTCTTGGGGTTTTGGGGTTTTGGGGTTTTGGGGTTTTGGGG